CATCAATGAAAAACATTACTGCAGGCTTCAACATGGCTGTGTTTACGATTAGAAATGTCAAACAAATTTCGCCTACGTAGGCGATTGTAGGCCGGATCTGTATCTGTATGCATGGGACTGTCTGAATACCGGCAGAATTCACATTTTTGTTGTAAAAAGAGACACGTTATGCAGAAGTATAGTTTGTATGTGTGTTTGTCAGAGCCTGCAGTTGCTGTGTGACGCGCGTTCGCGCGGTCGGTGTTGTTGCTATAACGCGTTGCTATGGGTTGCGTCACTTGCGTCAAGTTGTGTGTGTGTCTTGCTTCGGTCTTGTGAGACGGATTTTTATGGTTAATTTTATATATATATATTTATCTAAAATGAATTTACAATTTTATTAATACGTTCATATGTTTAAAAAGAAGAAGAATGTATTTATGTAAATTCAAATATATATATATATTTTTTTTTAGCCTACGTAATTTTTTGGCGGCACCCCTGACAAAGTCAGGGGGCACCCCAGTGTGCCGCGGCACCCACTTTGAGAAAGGCTGACTTAGAGCACCAGTTCAATGAAGATTCACTCATCCGACACACTCACGCTGCTCTTTGAAGCCTATATGACTAAAAACATCATAAAAGTTTTGTAAATTAAAATCAGGACGTTTTACAGTATTGTTTCCAGATGTTGTGCTCGACTGACGTGATCACGATGAACAATGAAAAGCGCCATGAACATTACTCGGCAGTTTCACGGCAAACATAACATCATATGATATGCAAGCGGTAAGCGTTCGGCACGATCATCACATAAACACACACACACTTACTGTAGTACGCAGACACACCACCTAGTATTTTATACTATATTTAATATTACTAAGTACATCCCTACTGTGGACGGCCCAGTGCTTTAGCGCCGGGAATAGAATCAGTCCACCCGTCTAGATGCTTTTCAGGCCATAATTGCAACTTAATCTCTGGCCCTATGCAATTTGCATTGTAATAATATCCAATATTCAAACTGCAGTAATGGTGTTGCGGTTTAGGGAATATTTGCATCTAGCAGCTGGTGCTTTGGGTTTCTCTTTGATGCAGATTTCGTCTTGTTTGTTTGATTTTAAACGTCCTCTGCTGGTTTATTTAAAGGAATAGTTGGGTTAAAATGTTTAATTCTGTTACATTTATTCACCTTCAAATCTGTATGAATTTCTTTCTTCTGCTGAACACAAAATAATAATAATAATAATACATTTTATTTATAATGCGCTTTTCTAAAACCCAAAGAAGATATTTTGAAGGATTGACTTCTACATTGACTTCCATAGAAAAAAAAAATAACATGGAAGTCAATGGGGTCCAAAAATTGTTTGGTTATTGGTTTGGTTCCTTTGTGTTCAGTAGAAGAAATAATTTCATACAGGTTTGAAACAACTTGAGTTTGAGTAAATGATGACAGAATTTTCATTTTTAAGTGAACTATTCCTTTAAAAGTGTTTAAATCAGTTTAGTTAACAATAACAACACTGGTCTTATTGTGATCGATTCATCGAGGCACATTACTTGAAGAACAATATGTTGAATAGGTTGGCGTTTCAAGCTTCTTCGTTTCAAATCAAATGTTTTGTGATGTTTGTGTGCGTCTGTCATGTATTAGTATAGCCGTAACAGGAATACAAAACAATCAGGGTTCCCGCGGGGTCTTAAAAAGCCTTAAAAGCATTGAATTGATTCATTTGGAAATAATACCTTAAAAAGTCTTGAATTTTGATGTCTGGGTCTTAAAAATTGTGCTGTATGTAACTTTTCCTTATTGTATTTTTCCTCAAAAGTTTCATTTGTCAACCATGATTATTATAATTGTCGATGTTTATTGTTCAGGGGTCTCTCAGTTCTCCATATTCCCAGCATGGAATAAGTAGCTAGCTAATGTTAAAACACAACTTAACATTGTTCGGCAAACTTTCTTGTGGCCTACTGAAATGTTTTTATTTTTCACACCTGCGTGGCTTATCATCTTTTACCCATTCCACATTTGAAAAATAAATGAACACAAGTTCAAGGATTTTATTTTTATTTTTTTTTGCTGGTAGGGACGTGAAATAGGTATTAATTTTTTATATAAATGGTCTTAAAAAGGCTTGAATTTAACTTGAAGAAACTTGTAGGAACCCTGAACAATGTGTCATCTAATTTTAATCCATGAGCCTCATCATCTTCCAGTCAAACGAGTGATTTAACCACGATCATTCTGGTAGTTATCTGGTTCGAAACATTCAGAAACGTCCCCTAAAGTCACCCACGGGTTACAGTAAAGTTGGCAGTAAAGGGCAGGTCGATTACGGACACGTGCAGTGGTTAACAGGAAGACTCGAGGTGCAGAAAACCCCTGTTGTGTGTCTAAGTTTAGACAATGAGACAGAAATACCAAATCAGAGAGAAAGAAAGAAGCATAGATGACAACATCCCACGATCCCTTCAATCTGTCTGAGCGATTAGCGCCGTGGCCGGCCCGATCTGCCACATCTGATGAGGGACATTCTCACGCGCTAAATACAGCACTTCAGATTTACTTGACAGCATATTGTTAGTCATACGACACTTTCTGAGTCACAGTGATATGCAGAATCATCCAGCGCTCACGTGTGGGACGTTTGCTTGCGTTTTCAAGACAACCGAGAAACTGATCGACATATATTAGTGTGAGGAAAGATTTAACATCAAACTTGTTTATTTTTGGCAATGCAAAGACAGTATTTTGATTCAGTTGTACTTTGAGATGGACTTTTTTTTGTATGTATGAGTATCTAAAATAAACTTATATTTATATGCTACACCACCATGCATCATATATCGCTGAATGAAATTGTTGTTTCCTACTAATTTTGGTGTGCTGATTTCAGAAATAGTCTGTCAAAACACACAAAAGGAGTGTTTTGCTCTAGCACAAACAAAATATGATTTTGTAGCATTTTTTTGTTGTTGCTTTAAACAACTATTTGTAAACTATGTGTCTTGTATTATCCATTAATCAGCTGAAAGACACGATTCCTCTCTTCCTCTGAGCCCGACGACAACTATCTGTTCAATTCTCAGCCGCTTTTCACATTAATGACATTATCTTGTGCCTAATCCTGAATTCAAGGTTAGAATTATGGACAGATGTTTTCTGTGGGTGTTTTACCGCATTCAACGAGTGACAGAAAATCACAGATGCTGTGAAAAAGCTTGTGTTTATGTTTCTAGACATTAAAGTATTTAACATTATTCCATTATTAGTATTTTTCCACTCCTTTGCCGATTGTAAGTTAAATGATACATTTTTTAATACAATACTTTTGAATACATTCAAACAACAACATTTGACAAAATGTTTTAGTTATTATTTAAAGCTAATTTATATACAGGTGAAGCTCGATAAATTAGAATATGGTGCAAAAGTTTATTTATTTCAGTAATTCAACTTAAAAGGTAAAACTAATATATTATATAGACTCATTACATGCAAAGTGAGATATTTCAAGCCTTTATTTGTTATAATTTTGATGATTATGGCTTACAGCTTATGAAAACCTTTTCACAATATTCTAATTTTGAATTTTCATAATCTATAAGCCATAATCATCAAAATTATAACAAATAAAGTCTTGAAATATCTCACTTTGCATGTAATGAGTCTATATAATATATTAGTTTCACCTTTTAAGTTGAATTACTGAACTTTTGCACCATATTCTCATTTTTCGAGTTTCACCTGTATATATTAGCTTTAAAATAACTCCTTTTGTGTGTGTTTGACAGGCTATTTCTGTAATCAGCACACCAAAATTAGTAGGAAACAACAAGTATTGGATTTCATTCAGCGATATATGATGCATGGTGGTGTAGCATATAAATATAAGTTTATTTTAGATACTCATACATACAAAAAAAAGTATTTCTTTGGACATGTCCATCTCAAAGTATCACTGAATCAAAATACTGTCTTTGCATTGCCAAAAATAAACAAGTTTGATGTTAAATCTTTCCTCACACTAATATATGTCGATCAGTTTAAAGAGTTTCACCTGTATATATATATATATATATAACTGTACATGATATATATATATATATATTCATGCTTTGGGACTTCAAAGAATACCATGGTATAACCATGTAAATGTTATTATGTTAATGATCCTGAGGGCGTATTTCATCTGGTTGTCATTTTTCTCTCAGGTCTTTTGAGAGACAGCGGTGTGCACTACAAGTACACTACACTCGTTTCATATGTCTCTGTGTGCTGTGTGTGTGTGTGTGTGTGTGTGTGTGTGTGTTTGGCACACTCTCTTGTGTGAATCATTAGATGTTGGATTGCTCCGATTCCTAAACCCAGACTGCCAAAACTCCTGCCGGGAGCGTTTCCTCAAACAAGCCTCACACACAGAGTGGGACAAAAGGAGATCTCTCTCTCTCTCACACACACACACACACACACACACACACACACACACACACACACACACACACACACACACACACACACACACACACACACACACACACACACACACACACACAAACATACACAGATACATGAACACGCAGTGGGAAGAGGCCAGAATGACTGACTGAAATCAGTTCATATGTCATTATTCCTGCTGAGCACAATATGTTATAGTGGCATTTAAGTCAATCATCACTAGCACTAGAGCTGATCATGATGTGATCAAACGCCTGAAGTATTAAAGGCACTGGATGATAAAACAGGTGGAAAAGTCCCATAGACACACATTGAAGGAGGGACCTGAGCCATATATCCATAATATTAGAGGGTGTATGTCTGTGAGGGAAAACACCACAAAAGTCCTGTTGGGAATTGATGATGTTTTGATTTGTGAAGCTCTCATTGGTTGTTTGTCAATGATGAACCAGTTGTTTCACTTCTAAGTTGGGTCCGTTGTCCTGTGTTTTCTCTCCTCTCTGTCTCCTTCCGTCTTTACTCTCTTCCTCTCCTCTTTTCTCCATCTCTACAGAGCAGATTCAGTGTAGGAGATCGAGGTGTTAGGCTGTACGGCGCATTACCCGTGAGACACAACCCTGAGGAGAAAAGACTGCCCTCTTCAGGGGTGAGACCCGTTCCACACCTTCATCTTCCTCTTCAGTTCTGATACAAACCCTAGTGAGATGCTACTGACCATGCAGAAACATACTCTAAACGGTCATTTCACCGTCTCGGTCAACTATAGACCCGATGTAGTCCGGCTATGAGTAGCCAAAATAACCTCACATTTGGTTACATGTCATTTTTGCCAAAATAACTTGTGAGATGAATGATATTCAAAGTCAACAGTGACTACAAGGTGTTTGGTTTCATTTCTTTGACATGTTCATATTTTAGATGACTAGTCTGTTCTTGGGCGATCGTTAGATGTTTATTAAATTTTCACTGAATGTTCAAATTTTGCCTTGTTTTAGCCTAGACGTCTGGGCTGTGTTTGGACGGCTATTAGACGTCTTTAAACGCAAAATTGCTTGCTGGGATTATGGGTCACCCAAAGTACCTTTCATGTGTAAAGGACATTTTAATACCGTTTTCCAGTATAAAGAACCTGTAAAGGATCTATGGATGATAAAGTTCCTTCATGAAACCATAGATACCAATAAAGAACATTTATTTGTAGGAGTTTATGCAAGTACGCAAACACCAAAATCAATAATGGAGTGTCTATTTACACTAACTCCGCCCACTGACGTCAAAACTACAGATTGTCAACAGTAGAAGTAGTGTAGATTCAAGAAGTTTTGATGCAAATCGACCCGAGTTCAAATCCGCCTTTTGCTGAACTTGCTCTACTCCCTTTTCCCATCACATATCAGATCGGAAAGGCATTTATTTTCGATTATGATTTCACTTTTCTAACTTTAGTTAGTGTGTAATGTTGCTGTTTGAGCATAAACAACATCTGCAAAGTTACACCGCTCAAAGTTCAAAGCAAAGGGAGATATTTGCTTTTATAGAAATCGTTTTTTAAGGACTACAACAAACGGCTGGTAGAACTACACCAGCTTCCTCCCGGGTTTGTGACATCACCAACCCTAAATTAACATAAACCCCGCCCCCCGGGAACACGCAGTCCATGTTGAGAAGAGGAAGAGCTGTTGTAGTCGAGGACATTTGTGAGTCTGCTCAAACTGTCGCATCCGTCTTTTCACATGCAATAGAAAGTCACTCTGTGTGCATCTCACAACAGTTCCTATACAAGCGATTTATAGATTATCCTGACAGAATATGCTAATTGAAGATAGCTAACTCCACATCAGCAACATAAATTCATCAACTAACCATTCAGAGATGTCCTGTTGCTTCTACATGTTGTCACTTCTTCTTAGTCTCTCCATCTTTGTCTGACTCCGGTTTAAACATAAAAGGCAGAACAGTTTCTGACATTTTAGCGAGTGGAGCTGCTAACACACACACACTCTTGTAGCTCCGCCCACTGTCTCGGGAGCATCAGCACATTTGCATTTAAAGGGCCAGACACAAAACGGTGTGTTTTTGCTAACCCTCAAAAAGTGACAACTTTAACATGCTATATAAAAATATCTGTGGGGTATTTTGAGCTAAAACTTCACATACACACTCGATTTATTTTACATCTTGTGAAAAGGGCATTATACCACCCCTTTATATATAAATTAATAATCATTCTAATTCCACGAGAAAAGCGAAGTCCACACCACAGCGATAACAAAAACAACACAGAATAACGACATCATTGGAATCGCTTTCAGACCAATTTTTGTTTTCCAGCTGATGAATGATAAAAACATCCAATCAGAATCTGAAGAGCTTGGGCGTTTAAAGTGGAAGATGACGAAACGTGTTGTAATAAACGACGTAGTTATTCGGTTAAGAGCGGGCCTTTAGTGTTCAGGAGCCACTGAAATGAAACCACACTAGTGACTGGATTACTCTCTCAACTCAATGAATTTCAACTCAACATGTTGCTAAACTAATGACTCAATGCTTTAATAAGAATAAAACCACAACACAGAGATATTAGGTGAAATAACCAAACTGTAAAGATTGATTGTGACTATAAAAATATAAGTATAATTAACATTTCTATTGACACAGCCACCATATTGGATTTGTTTTCCCACTCATCGTGGTTTATGTCGTCAGTTCACTGGGTTTTGGATCAGGGTTTCTCTAGCGCCCCCTGTTGTCTGACTGTGACTGTCTGTCTGTGGTGGGTTTGTGGTTCTCTGAGGGTCACAAACTCAGAGTCTCTATATGTCCACATAGGGCCACACTTCACACCCACCATAACCTCCCGCACACACACACACACACACACGCTACAGGATAAAGTTCAAGTTTGAGCCAAAAACCAGTCAAGTGTAACTACTTAGACTCACAAAACATACAGTGGCAGCATCAGATGGTAATGCCATGACACTGAATGATCACCATATTCATGCACAAGGGTCTTACATGGTATTTCAGAGAATATCATCATTTATGGCCCTTGGTGCAATTATTAGTTAGTGAATATCATGTAATGTGGAAGTTGTCATTTTTCTTTGCTTTGAGCATGAGAAGAATTAATGTCTGTGTGAAATTTTCCAAAAGAAATGCATTTTTATAATGTGAGTTCTACAAACACAGTTACTATAGTGCATTTGTTGAATGAGCAATGCACGTGAATAAACAGTCATTTTAGCAGCATCTTTATAGATCGTAGGCATTGTTTTATTTTGTGCTCATGCAATGGTGTTTTTGCAGTTGCGGATACACACGGCTTATGTTTGCAATGCTGCAACTGTTCACACACACACAAAAGTGACTCACGTTCAAAAGTGAGCATGTTTGACTCAGAATTACCTATGTTTCCTTTTTCACTTTCCGTTACTTGAAAGGACGTCCGTATTTAACAAAGTAAAACACGTCTGAGTCACTGGAAAATCTCGAACTGCGTGTGCCCTCCGCTTTTCTTTTCAATTGATCTACTCAGCATATTAACTGAACATGTGAAACTGTGGAAATAAAAATGTTCCAAAACACTGAAAAATCCTCTGCGGTAGCTTTTCTTTTTTGGAAAGATCTTCTCGTCGTCCTGCTCGAGTGAATGCCGCCGTGTGCAATATTGTGGGCGGCTTCTTTTTAATTAGAAACAAGATGGTATTGATGTTCCAGAAACCGGCATCGTAAATCATTTATCAGCGCCAACAAAGCAGCTCACGCTGACCAGTCGTACCTCGCTGATCCATTATCAGGGCTCCCACGGCCGTGAGAAACACTGGAATATCAGGGAATGTGAAAATGTTGATTTCCTGGAAAATTATGCAGATTGCATATAGTCCCATTTGGTTTCCATGTTCATATTTCATTGTGCTGTGAGGTATTTTAAACAATATCATGGTGTTGCCATCATGGTAGTGTTCAAAATGGCATATGTTGATATGTATTATATTATTTTAAATTATGTAATATTTAAAAAGTTCAAGAATAAGCACTTTTTGTATGGAAACGGAAAAACACAGCATGGTTTTTGAGCATATATGGTAATACTAAGGTTTACTTTAACCTAGAAATTGTACAATTCTGATTTATTACTTTAAACAATAACATTGTATATAGTATTAATATAGTGTGTTAAAGAATAATATTGCTTTTTTGTAATTTTATAGTAAGTTTGTATTTTATTATTTAAAATATTTTAGTAACAGTAAGCATAAACCAATAAAAAACATCATACAATGCATGCATATACAATGGGTTTTGACTATGGTAATCTTTAACTTAGAAATTGTAAAATTCAGATTTTTAGGTCTGGAGAAGTCATGGAAATTAATAGAATCTTAAAAGTCTTTTACAAATTTATATATAGAAATAATCCTCATCATCATAGCTTGGAAAAGTCATGGAATTTTATTGGTCAAAAGGTGTGGGAACCCTGAATTTGGATTATTTTAATGACTTCATTATCATCATTATTTTATGACATCGTCATAAAAACATAGAAAGTATAGAGTAATATACAGAAATATTTAAACCTACAGGTGAAACTCGAAAAATTTGAATATGGTGCAAAAGTTCATTTATTTCAGTAATTCAACTTAAAAGGTGAAACTAATATATTATATAGACTCATTACATGCAAAGTGAGATATTTCAAGCCTTGTTATAATTTTGATGATTATACAGCTTATGAAAACCCCAAATTCAAAATTAGAATATTGTGAAAAGGTTTTCATAAGCTGTAAGCCATAATCATCAACATTATAACAAATAAAGGCTTGAAATATCTCACTTTGCATGTAATGAGTCTATATAATATATTAGTTTCATCTTTTAAGTTGAATTACTGAAATAAATGAACTTTTGCATGATATTTTAATCTTTCGAGTTTCACCTGTATGTTTGTTGCAGAAGGGCCTGATGTGTGTGTGTATTCCATTATTCTGCTGTTAGTTAAAGTTCTTTCACAGAGTCTTGACACTTTCATAAATAAAACTGAAAAAATATCATTTTTTTTACAATGCCCAGAGTTCTGAGGAACGATCTAAAAAAAGACAGTGGTAAAAAAAAAGAAAATCTTTTTTCTTTTTTGCTCAGTTTTCCGGATGCGTACATGCATTTACATATGAATGGTTTAAAATTATCTGCCTTTTATCAAGCGTCTCCTCAGCCGCCTTTTAAGAAGTCTAACCAAACCCTGGCATGAAGGTTGAGCTGAGAACAAGCACTTGAAGATCTCAGAGGAAACGTGCCGTTTCTCCTCGGCCCGTGCGTCAGGTGTTGCGGTGAGGGAGGGAACCAGCTTTAGGTCTTTGTTCGGTATCTTCACATCTCCACACACAGGGTTCAGTTAAAAGTTGGTTCAGTTAAACATCCGCTCACTAGCTAAAATAACCCCCCCGCACTCACTCACACACCCACCCTCACCTTCAGCTTCCTCTGGAGCTGAGCAGCACACACAAACACACACACTCACACACACACACACACACACATACACACTCACACATATGCACACACTCACACACACACACACTCACACACCCACCCTCACCTTCAGCTTCCTCTGGAGCTGAGCAGCACACACAAACACACACACTC